GGGGGGGGGGGGGGGGGTGTAACCTCTTACTGTTTTCATTTTATGACATAAAATACACCAAACCTGTGGCTTTCAGATTATCATAAACATGTCTAAAATACATGAAATAGCCTTTCGCAGACCCTAAGAATAGAACAATTTTCCGGGGGACCATTCCCCTGGACAGCCGGACGATTAGACCCCCCTCCCCCCTCGTTTGGGTGACCACTCCCCTGAACGATATGGCTTTGCTCATTAATTAATAATGCGTTTAAGAAATTAAGAATATCAAGTAGAAAAAAGTTTGTACTACTGCATATACATATACACACAAGTGATTTTATGAACTAAAATATACCTATATTTGCATGGGTAATATTTTTAATCGAAGCTATGATTTAAAAGCCAAAATATTAATGAAATGTCTTAACTTTTTTTTAAATTCGCGTTTTTTCTGTTAGGAAAGTTTGTAGGGCAAATAGCTATTTATATACTGATAAAAATGAAAAACAAAAAACAACTTCCTTATGAGGCAAAAACCACTGCGTCCATATAAAGCTCTTTTGATACAATGCGGAAACAAATTACGATGAGTCGGAAGCCGGCTCGTTTATTTCTATATTTTGCCTTCTTGTTCTGTCATGTTGAGAATACCCTTGTCATGTTCCTATCATGTTTTGTATTGTAAAATTTCACTTATTTACACAGGTGATAGTTGTTGAGGTTAGCGTGTTAAAATGAAATCTATGTATGTACAGTATACTACTGTATGTATGTAACTAATAAAATTGTATTCCAGTTTTAATCCGCAAGGACGTCCACCGGACGTTTCCGATAATTTGGTTGGCCCTAGTTTATTTTGATATTTTATTTTGATATTTTATTTTATTTGAAAAAATAAAAAAATGTTTTTGCAACTTAGAAATTTGTTGCTATGACATGTTGTAAAACATGGATTGGAGTACTGGACTCGGAAAAATGGACTGAGTCGGCGATTTATATAAAACATTAGTCCATGTTATGCAAATCACGGACCCAATCCGCTTTTTTGCAAAACCATGTCATACAAAGCGTGGCCTCAGTCCTTGCTTTGCAAATCGCTGACTTGAGTGAGTCCATGTTTTACAAACACTGACTTATGAGTCCATGTCTTCCAGTCCAGTTTAACCCATGTTTTACAACATGACCGTTATTATCCCACCAGCAAAAACGTGCCAAAATTTAAAATTGAAAAGCTCTACATTAGCCAAATAGCTTGAGAAGAGTAAATTTAATGACTGATACGACAGCTGCTCAATACAAATACATTATTATATTTAATTTGGCACGCACGATTTAGTCCAATTAATGTCATCACAATTATGTAACTATGTAGCTACAATTTGCATATAAACTGGTACTTTTATTAGCAGCATTTCGCCTATAAACAGCTCAGGCTATTTTAAAACGAACTATGATGTAGAGCTAGTTCTATAATACGTTTCCTTTAGCCTTTGGAAATAATTCACTTATATATACTGAGCTTAATCGATTGCCCAAAGACCTTAGAAGTCTCTGCATCTCTGGCGCTAACCATAATGTCGTTCTTCAGATCATGTTTTTTAGTTTGTCCGATGTAGTATGAAACTTTAACGTCAACCAAACATTACATTAGCCGACAAAACCGAGATATAACTTGGAATAAGAAATCCACCAAAACTACGTATATGCATAAAGGGAACATTATATTAAAAGCTCCTTGAAATCTAACTGAATTTTGTCATTGGTACTTTGTTGTTAAATTCGAATGCTTATTTTGCTTTGCTCTTTCTATCTACCGGGACGCAAAGCAATTAAAGCTTAACCTTAAAAGAGTGCCGCTTTATGGAAATACCTGTAATTTTGCAGTCACCTGCCTTATTTTTCGTTGACTATTTTGGTTGCTAGCGCGCGTGCAAACTATAGAACATTCTGTTACGACAGCGTATGCAGGAACAAGGAAAAATCTGAGCGTTACTCGTTAGCATTATCTTTGCGTTAAACTTTTTATTGCTTCGTTTCCGAAATCGGAGCGCTCCTCGCAAAGATGATGGGAAAACGGTTTTTAACCCTATGGGTTTTTATAGTCTATATTAAGGTGAGTTCGTATAGTGCGTAAATATTTTTTGCGGGAAATTTTCACTAAATGTTATGTTGTTTGAACAATATCAATTATACACGTTTGGTCATCTCAAACTTTTTGGCTGTATCATGTTAAGTCAGTAGGTTTTTGCCACAAATGCATCTTGTTTGAGTCCCCGGCCAATAGAACAGTCATCTATTTTTCCCTATTATTTCACTATTATTTCAAATGATTTATAATTATATATTTTAGCTGGTCTTATGAGTTGAAAACTATAATTTTTAATTTTTTTTAATTATTTTTTGTTAGTGTCTTTTATGTTCAGTTTCAATTCATTCCATACACCAATCTATGTACTATTACTTGCTCATTGTTTTGTATTGGACATTATTTTTAACTTCAGGTTCAATTGGATGAATTCTCCAATCATTCTTAAAACTTGTTACGGCCGTTCAAATGTACTCAACATTTTTCAAATCATGCTTTATACGTATATAAAGGTGTTTTGAGCAAGCGTGTGTCGTTATTAAAGTATTTGATAGCTCTTGTTTTCCATGCTCCCTTTACTGGCTTTAGTGCAAACAGTATCGATTTTTTTTGGCATCTCGCTTGATTGAACTATACTGCTGAAGGGTTTTTTGTAGATGCAATTTTCGAACGGAAAATTGTACACAATTTTAGACCCATGCAACCACAGGTGATCCGGTGATGATGATGATAAACTTTATTTAACTACGCTAACATTGTCATGCTAAAGCGGGTTGCCACAATCCCAATGGGCGTGTGAACAAACGTAAATTTAAACAACATACATTTACATTTACAACCATGTTTTAATAGCGATGGGTAAGCGATTTTCCTTTCGACAATGGACCATTTGCATTATAGACTAAATTTTGATCTAGACAAAAATTTCATCACAGCTTGAAAGAGCATCACAAAATTAGTAATATTCCAAAGTTTCGTTGCGAAATATTGTAAAATGCGGATAATATAGCCCTGCGAAATTTGCAGTTTTCAGTCATTTTGTATTACAAACGGGAAATTGATGCCCCAATACCCGATTGGGCTGTCAATTTCCCGTGCGTAATACAAAATGACTGAAAAACGGCAAACTTCGCAAGGCTATATTATCCGCATTTTACAACATTTCGCAACGAAACTTTGGAATATTACTGATTTTGTGATGCTCTTTCAAGCTGTGATGAAATTTTTGTCTAGATCAAAATTTAGTCTATAATGCAAATGGTCCATTGATAGCGTTTTGCTCTCTCTAATATTTCTGGCAAAGTGTTCCATATGAAAGCTCCGTCATACATGAAACTCTTTTTTAAACTGTTCGAACGTGTCTTTGGCAACCGTGATGTGGTTGAGCTGTCACGAAGATTCTGATTTAATATTTCATTTTTGAAAATGAATAAATCTTTGAGGCAATTTGGCCCCATTTTGTGAAGCAGTGGCGGCGGAACAGGGGGGGCTAGGGGGGCTAAAGCCCCCCCAGAAGTAAAAGTGGGGGGGCTAAGCCCCCCCAGAAAATTTTGTTTTCTCTGGAAAAATTTTGATAATTAAGGAAAAATGTAGGTTATTTTTGGAAAATTTAGGTATAAGGGGAAAAATTTGGGATATTTTGTTTAAAAATCGAGTATGTCCGGACAAATTTTTTGTTATAGGTGCGGAAAAATTTTTTTCATCACTTTTTTTGTATATGTCCGGAAAAATTTTTCTACCCTTAAAATGGTACACTGACCGAAATTTTTTTGGCGACGGGGGGGAGGTCACGGAAAAAAATTTTAGCCCCCCCCCAAACTGAAATCCGTTCCGCCGCCCCTGTTGTGAAGTATCTTAAACATCGTTTTCGCTTTAGTTTTTAATCGTTGTTCTTTTAATGTTTTCCATCCTAATGTTTTCCATCCTACCAGGAGTAGCTGCGAAAAAATGCAACCATAGGCCCTCGGGCACGAATCAAACCTGCGTCTCTGCGATCCGGTGCAGCGCTCTAAGGGACCGGTCATAAAGTAACTGCTAGGGTGGGCTGGAGTGATTTGGGATGGGCCATGGAAAATCTTTGGGCAGTTTCGATGGGCCGCCAAATTTTTTGTATGTCCACGGTTGGGCCACCAAACAAAAACCCATGCATGTCTACTTCAAAAAAGAAAGATATTAATAATAATATCATGATTGCAGGTATTCCCTTTGTTCTCGCAGGGCAATTAATAACTAATACACCTCGTTATATTCATTTTTTCTAATCCTACCCGCTTTTACGTCATGTCAGGTAGAATTAGTTCTAATCCTACCCGAAACGACGTCAAAGCGGGTACGATTAGAAAAAATGAAGATAAATGAAGATATCTGAAATCGCCAGAACGAAACAAAGACAGGGAAAACAATTATACCCATTTAATTTATACCATTATTTATTTTTAATTGGTTTTTAATGGCCCTGCCAGAACAACGGGAATACCCGCAATCATGATATTATAAGGTAATAGCATAAAAAGAAGCGAATTAGCTATTGAAACGTCCCGCCCGATGAGGGTCGTTTAGTAAAATTCCCTTGGGCGCCGCTCGATGAGGGTCATTTAGTAAAATTCCTAAAAAATCCTAATTTTACTAAATGACCCTCATCGAGCGGCGCCCAAGGGAATTATACTAAACGACCCTCATCGGGCGGGACGTTTTAATAGCTAATTCGCTTCTTTTTATGCTATTACTTATAATAAAAGAAAACAAAACTGTCCGAATTATCAAATGCAAATGATGCTATTGAAGCCAGTACTTTGTTTTATACAACAACAAGAAGTGGTCGAATCAGAGCAAATACACCAACTGGAGAGCAGCTCAGTATCGTAATTGGTGATGAATGTGTTGGTCTAGCTTGGTGGAATTACGTATGTCAATACAGTGCCGGTGTATATTTACAATGCTCATACCTGCAAGTTTTTTTTTATTATAAAAGTGTATTTTCCCAATTTAGATTGGGTGGGTCATGAAAATTTTTTTGTAAGTTTAGATGGGCTTTGAAATTTTTATCTACATCCTAAGATGGGTCACCGAACTTATTGGCAAAATTTGTGATTTACCTCCAGCCCACCCTAGCAGTTACTTTATGACCAGTCCCTAACGGTTTACACTCGCAATTTTGCTAAGATTTCTAGCGCAATTTTTTTCTTCTGATTGATGAGAACGAGTAAATGAGTTATGAATGTTCCGGAGTAAAGGAATACCGAATGGTTTTCCGTGCAGGATTGCGTGATCCATGCACGAGGGATGTCGCGAGACTTTCGGAAAGCGTAAAAATACTCGAGCCGCAGGCGAGTGTATTTTTACGCTTTCCGAAAGTCGAGCAACATCCCAAGTGCATGGATCACGCTATCCTGCTTGGAAAACCATTTGGTAATTGTTTTATAAAATAACTACAGCTGTGAAACAATGACGTCAATTTGTGAATCCCGCGAAAATCCCGCGAAGGTATTTTAATTCCTCGTGCAGGATAGCCTGATCCTGCACGGCTATTGACCAATCAAATTGCGTGTTTCACTGTAGTTATTATATAATACATGTTTCTTCATGTGAGCATTCATAACTTATCCACTCCTTCACATCCATCAGAAGAAGAAACTCGCACTGTAG